AAGGCAACAAGAATATAAGGTTCGACTAAATTTTCGATGAAATCAGTGAAAATTGCTACCCTTTATAAATCTCTCGGTAAGTTGTCACGAAATCCTGGATGTCACTGCGTGCCGTTCTTTAAACTCTTTTTGGGTTACCTATCGTAATGCCGTAATCTGATTATTGGTACTTATTTTTTAAACCGGCAGGAGTTTATTTCCCGTCAAAATTTATCTGAACAAAATGCTGGGATAAATTTTGGCAAGAAATAATTGATTCGTCACTGGCTCAACATCCTATTAGCTACTCGGATTTGTCGAGCTTATGTCTTGCGTTACCACTTGAACTACAGTTGCTTTCATTCCACAATACAGGAAAGTGCCCGGGACATATGTAGGGTAGATTCATTTCCATAACATGCAACTTGAATTTATACAAACAAATGATTGAATATAATAGCATACGAGAAGATATACAAATTCACAAAAATCGGTTTCACAAAATTTCACCTTGGAGGCATGGAGTAGAAGTCGAGTTTGTCAATAATAACTTTTCCAATACATTTTACAAAAATATTGTTGAATGTGGCAATTTTGCAAGTTAATTATAATATCTGATATGCTGCAATCGCGATGAAACTTCCCTTCTTCCTGTGATGTACCTCGTCACTACAGTTAAACCTCGCAAGGGGCGGGGGGCACTGTCTGTAGCAAAAGATAGAACCGGAGGAGAATGGGGCAAAATTTTTCATCCATTATTTCTTCTAACCCCGGCAGTATAAAAAGAACTTCTCTTTTTGCTCAGCAATGTGTGTTTATTATTATAGCAAATAGCAGGCGACAGTACTGCGAAAGAAGTTATGGAAAAGGAGGAAGAAATAACTCATGAAGACAACGATTGGGGTAATTACTTTTACTGATTATACTGTTATAATCTGGGGGATGCCCAAATTGAGAGCCCGAGCGGTCTTGATATTCTTAGTATTGTTATCATCATCTGCGGGCAGGATAAAACAAACTTCCCGCTTGACTTTTCTAACTCTTATCATTGCAGTTGGATCTCACTTGCGAATATCTCGTCGGAGATGTTTCGCGAGACAGCGAAAATCTCAGCGCTGTTGCCGGGAATATGTTTTTGTTATATTGTCTTTTAACCCTGACAGGAGTGGGAAAACATTTAAACGAGGAGAGAGACCCTCCCTTTGAAAGAGGCTTAGAGGAGGAACAGGCGGTGGCCGGGGAGTACCTCTCTTGGAACCACACGAGCTAAGGGGCTGAAACTTTGTAGGAATATTCCCTGTGCATTTATAAGCTAAAGATTTCAAACTCAGCCCCCAGGTTTTGATGGGTAATACAGCAAATAAAAAGAATCCTCATTCTTGGCATGAATCACCCCGAAACAATATCACAGAAGAGCGGATGACTGCAATTTATAGTGAAGCATAGTGCTTGCAGGTATTGAATTGGTTGATCAGTCAAACAATGTCCAAGAACAAAGTAACGGTCCCGCTGAAGGCATACAATTTGCTTACGACGCTCCCACTAAAACAGTAAGTATTTCCAACAGCAGCAGCCCTCTTCATATTATTTACATCGATACTTCGTTGAATATTCAAAAATGTGTTTTCTCAAGGTAAGAATGAAAGACGTTTTCCCGCGAGGAACAGTGGAAGGAAAAATATGCGCTACTGTGCAATCGATCTTTTTTTAAGCAGCTAAGTTAAAAAAGAAAAACACGGGAAAGTATTTCTCAAGATTTCAGCAAGCACTCTTCTGCTCTTTGCGCACAGCGATAGTGGGCCTCATCTAGAAAAACTATTCGAAATATTTGATGTGAAACAATGCACAAAAAATTTCCAAAGTGGCCGCCAGGAAAGCTCGCAAATCCGCTTCAAGTCGGCACCGTAAAAAAACAATCATTATAGATACTAGCTTGCATTTTTCTCGAGCTTTTCATGGAATGCTTAAATAAGTAACGGATTATTAATTTAGGCTGTGAAAGATGAAATGCGGCCTGCTGAGCAGAAAGACCTGTCATCGCTGATGGCCGAGCTAAAAAGTTTATGAAGTTTACAAGGAGCGAGTGACATCACTTGGCGAATTCGTCTGATGAACGGGCAAACGGGAGAAATATGTTTTTCCATTTTCTAAAGCTGTAAGAGATTGTTAGTTCACTTATGGGAAGCTTCGGGATAAAGGCACAATTCTGCATGAATTTAGCACAGTGCATTTTTTTTATGATGGCCAGTACTGCTCAAAAAAAAAAAACGCCAAATTCTGAATTATTAGCATGTAACGATCATGCTTATTGCCATTTCGTAGCGAGAACATCTTCTTACCAAAGGGAAAATTAAGCAAAAACAAATAACTGCGGCAAGGCGGCGTCTTCTTTCAGTGCCATATCATTTGGATGAATATGATAAAATTATTAAATATTGTTACTTTATTCCAATTTTTTTTTTCTTTTTTGGGAGAATTTTTACTAATAAAGCTGCACGAAAGACTGAAAAAGGAATACACAGCGGAGGCACAGGAATACAATATTTACAAAGCAGGGTCTGTACTATCACATTATGACTGACTTTTAGTATTTCGTAAGCTATGTACGTCACATTCGTCCCCTATTCACAAATTTAGCAACCTTTAGATAGCCTACGTCGTCTAAAGTGTTACAGCCTTTTGATCCATGCTCATCCGGGAATATAAGTAGGCGAAGGCCCACCACCTTTTTACTCATCTTCATACTTCTATAACTTAATTCTTTTGATTATTTACTTGAAATTACTTGTA